ATATTCTATCTACTTATGGGGAACTATACACCACCCCAACACTCTTTTCCAAAGCTGTTCCAGTGACAAATCCACAGAGTTGGAGATGAAAACCTGCAGGCTCCAATGCGGGGTTTAGGGGTTTAGTGTTTAGTTGTTTAGGGTTTAGGGTTTGGGGTTTAGGGTTTAGGGGTTTAGGGGCTTAGGGGTTTAGGGGTTTGGGGACTAACAGGGTAATTTAGAATAATGAAATTCGGGACTCTGATTCAGTTCATTTTTGGATAGTTAGGATTAGATAGGGCCAATAGAAGGGGAACCCAAGGCTGTAGTACAGGAAGGGTGGGCAGTAGGGAAAATAGAATCATGGTCCTTGGCACACATATTTGTATAAATATATCTACATATATATATATATGCACAGTGTCCACTTCGTTTTCCATTTTCTTTTCAACTTGATTCTCCATTAGTTGTATGATCAAATAACATCCCCTTAAACCGCACATAATCCCTAAACTCTAACGCATAAGATCTTATGTTACACTTACGGACCCCATAACCCCTCTCCCGTGAATCCTAAACCTCTTTTCCACCCTCGTATCTCCATGAAGCCGCCCTATGAAACATTACCCTAAACCCTAAACCTGCATCCCAAATCCTGTTCTCACCCTCTTAAACCCCAGACCCTAGATCCCAAGCATCCTTCTTCACCCTGGTATCTCCATCAGAGCAGTTCAGAATAATTTCGATTCCCAATTTAAGGCCATTTTGGTACTACTCCCTACATGAACCATCCAATTTAAGGCCATTTTGTTACTATTCCCTATGCAAACCACCATTTAGAGCAAGGTCGGGTGAGGTCGCTTGAAATTGCCCAGATCTCCATGAAGCCGCGCCTGCACGTCCTCTTGAATTCGCTGGTCTGGATTGCTGGCGTCTGCACCATCCTGACCCTTGGTCAACTCCAACCTTGGAAAGGGGACAAAGGGCTAAGGTTAAGGGTGGAGGGTTTAAGGTTTAGGATTAGGGCTTAGGGTTGAGAGCTTAGGGCTTGTAGCTGAGGGTTTAGGGTTCAGGGTTCAGGATACGTTGAAGGTTTACTCTCCTCCCCAACAACCAAAGCTAAAGCAGTTTAAGCTTTAATATAGGGACCGAAAAAAGGAAGCCCAAAAGGGTTGACGCTCTTCTATTGGCTAAGTAAGTTTGGGATAGGTCTAGGGTTCAGGTTTAGGATTTAGGGTAGGTCGAATGTTTTTGTCGAGGGTTAGGCTAGAGGATAGAAAGAGGTCAATAGGATTGGGGATTCGGGATTTAGGCGGGGAAATCATGAAAGCATGTGTTGCCCATAGTGGGTGTGCTGCAAAAGCTGTAGGCTATTACTTGGTGATAACATGCCATACCACCCTCTTCCCCAATAACTAAGGCTAAAACAGCTTAAGCTTTAATATAGAGACCCAAAAAGGAAGCCCAAAAACGTTAAAGTTCTTCTATTGGCCAGTAAGACTTAAGACCAAGGGATTTCGGGTCCCGGTTCAGGATTTATGGCATGCTTTATTCCAGGGACCCTGGCGGCCCAAAACTAAGCCTCATAAAAACGCCAGCAATGATCACTGAAAAGGAAGGCCTATGCAGCGTCTTGGGAGTTTTAGGGTTTGGAATTGGGAAGACAAGTTGAAGGGTTCCAGTGAAATGACACCAGCAAATCCCTGAGCAATAATTTTAGGGTTTAGGGTTTAGGGTTCAGGGTTTAGGGAAGGAACTACGTTCTTCGGGGCGGGGAAACTTCCCAAACCTGAATTACGATTTGCAAACGTTAAGGTCAATCTCCGGGTCTTGGCCGGCCTTGGGCATGACAAAGCCTTAAACTGGGTAGTTTTCCTACTATAATCTACTATAATATACAATAATATACTATAATATACAATGATATACTATAATATACAATAATATCCTGTAGTTTTCATACATGGGCTTACCGGCGAACACCAATTCTGACCCCAGGATGGTATCCATTTTCTTATAATACTATAATGTACAATAATATCCTATAATATACTATAATATACAATGATATATTATAATATACAATGATATATTATAATATACAATAATACCCCATAATCTACCATAATATCCTATAATGTACAGTAATATCCCATAATGTAGAATAATATACTATAATATCCTACCTTCTTTGACCCGGCACCTGCCTGTATGAGCTGAAGTCGGACAACCAATTCGAGGTGTACCTTTCCTCAGTGCACAACTACAAATTGGTCCCCAAAACCCTTTGAAAAATATTAGTATATAGGGTCCCTTATTAAAGCCATCAGGGAAAATATTAAATGTCTTAGGGGCCTACCCAGAGCTACAAATCTGCAAGTCGACCAGCCCTCCATGCTTTGCGGTGACACGGAACGAGCCTCTTGCCGAACCCAGCTTGGTACATAAAGCACATCTGCCCGCAGGCTGCATGACATCACGGGAGAGTGTGGGCGGGTGTGGTTCGGACGAAGCATGCAAAGGGTTTCAAATGAGCTGCAGTCAAAACTCCTGCTATCCCCCTGAATAGGCCCTATAATATTCCTTTATATGACCCCGCCTTAAGAAGTTTAGGCTACAGCTCATTTCTGCTCATATGGAGCCATCGGCATTTCCACTCTCACCATCCTATCAAATCAGCTCAGTGTCTGTCACGTTCTCTCGCACCAGCAAAACGAACATGGCTGTCAGGTAGTACCTGAGAAGTCAAGCGTCTTTGTCTGTGAAGGGGGCCACGACGGACAAAATCATCCATAAACACAGCCAGCATACAAAATTCACGGCATTGGTTGATCCAAGGTGCCGATAAGCCGTCGCAAACAACGCCATCAAAGCATACAGCAGAAACTGCGTACACAAGGCCTGGAGCTGGTACCAATGCCTGATGTCAAGCAGCATCGAGAAGCATTGACTGCAACACTTGATACAAACCATAACAAGTTGCGTCATTCCATCTTTTGCTGAGTTCCAATCCTCAGCTGACCGAAATCACAAGGGTCAAAGGGATGCATAACTTTCTTGTGAGCAATTGTCTTACTGAGGGGTAGTGAGGCCTAGTAGGAAATAAGGGAATATAATACTTATATACTATACTCCTGTACTCCCTGCTGAGCCCCAGTAAGGTAATCTGGTCGAGGACATCTCCAAGATGTCGATAGTCACGTGCGGGGCGTCAATGAGTGCCCCACGCTTGCCCACAAGCCATAAACTTGATCTAAAAGAATGCTGCAAGGTGGGAGAATGGACACGTTGCGCAATGTTCGGGTCGCGGCACATACAATTACTACACTCACTGCAGCACTAGGGAGGACTACACTGACTGCAGCACTAGGGATGTACAGCTAGAACAAGGGATGTGTGTAACAGTTTCACGGTCAGAGGCAACGGCAGCCACTAGGAGGCAGGAAACGTATGCATTGTGTAAATGAGGAAGAAAACAACGGTGACAGATTACATACAGGCTCGAAATTGCAAGCGCGAAAGGGTAATGAAGGGGAATGATGGGGTCTAACGGCACAAACCACTTGCTGATCACTTCTTCCCCTTCGGTCCGTTAACATACACACTGATACACTGTCCGCTTTTTTAATAGGGGTGGTCAATGCTGTATTCTTGGCTTCTACACATAAGGTGGTTCACGTTCACGAGCAAGCGAGTCAAACCATTGTTTGTGAAACATGCGAAACCCCCTATTGATTGCCAGGCGAGCGTCGGAAAGCCGGCCCCAGAATTTTTCGGCCCAGTCTACCAGAAGCAAGCTGGCATATTGTGACAGAAGGATCATGGAGACGATGAGGCCGACACAAACGAAACTTAACCTGGGCAGAGCAAGTCGCGTCCCACAGTCGCAAGACTATGGGTTCAGCTTCAAGGTAGGGAGGGCCCTTGGGGATCGCTCTCTGCGCAATGCGCGCTGGTGTCTTCAACCGGGGGAGCGCAGTTCATCACTGCTGCCAGGCTGAATTGTGTGACGCCGCAACGCAACACCAGCTTAGCTCGGATAATGCCACACAACAAAGTCACCAACAAAGGACACCATCGCTGTGGTTGTTGCATGTCGGGAACAGTGGTCATACTTCCGAATGGGCCCTCCTATTCACGTAGGCTTGGAGGTTTGGGCGAACATGTAACATGCAATAATTGCGACCAAACTTTTGAACCCTAAACCCTAAACCCCTAAACCCTAAACCCCTAAACCCTAAACCCTTGAACCTTAGAGCCAAGCCGCTTCCATCGCTCAGTCAAGTATAACTTCCACAAGCGCAATGCTCCGCTGAAAGGTCCTATTTGGGGGGCTTAGGGGTTTAGGGTTTAGGGTTTTAGGGTTTAGGGGGGACATTTTGAGGATGCAGGGGGGTTCAAGGATCACGGTCGTTTGGCAATCTTGAATTGCGGAGGCTTCGTGGAGTTGGGGGTTGCAACACGGCTTATGGCGTTGCAGTGGCGATCTTGACCCTGATGCCCGGAATGAATGCGAGACAGCAAGTGTCTAGAAGCCTTGCGTACGCAAACACAAACATACACGCGGAGTAACGCACGCAGGTCGACGTGATCTAGACGTACTTACACGACATGTGTGGTGTGATGCATCATGACTTGGATCAACCTGCCACTGAAACATGTCGTGAACAATGGAAACTGCGTCCTTCTTTGGCTTGCAGTTGTTGTCGTTGCACGTCGTCGAACCTTCCACGGGACGTGGCTACGCTCGCAAACGCAGAGCAAAATGCCAAACAAATCACTCAAAACACCGAACGCACTTTCAACAACAAAAACCAACACTGACAGTCAATCGTCTTAATTTGAAACGGTTTCCGCCATGCGACAATCGGAAAGGAGTCGTGAGGTCCACGCCCGTGCAATCCAGGTGAACAATCTCGAAGGCTGCAATGCCGACCAGCAGAAACACTGCCAATATCGCCGCGTGCTCAGCCGCCTTGTTCCCGAAGATGGCCCTGATATGACATGGACATTAAAACTAAGTAAGGTATCTGCTCTAATTAGAAACAACACGGCTCGCGGCTGCCTCATAGCGAGGCCCGGCCAAGAAAGCCAACAAAGCTTAGAAATTGTGTGTGCCCGACATTAAAGCAAGCATGTCAACAATTGACGCCGAGTGTCTGAGACACAGCCGTTTGCAGAGAAGTTGGTGGTTCTGCTTCTTCTGTCGAATTCACATCCTGCATTAACACCATTGCGCTGCAAACTGCAGATCTCTGCCCTACACACATCTTATTCCCCAAGCTTGCCTGCGTTTGCTCCAACTTGGCCTGGTTGGCCATCACGCTTGCGAGGTTCAGGTTTCGCCCTCGGCGGCCTGCAGGGGAAACTAAGGTGTTGGAAGCCTGGCATGTGAATGGGCGACTGCAAAAACGAATCTGCATGAACGACGCAAGCCGATGCCTGATGCCTGCAGCAGCATCGGCCACAGCATCGCCGCAGCAACAGCAACAGCAGCAGCAGCAACAACAACAACAACAAAAGCAGCGGCAGCAACAGCATTCACGATATCATTTGCCATACACAGCTGGTCTAGCTACACGTGTTGTCACATTGGAACTTTAAAATGTTCACAGCACCACAAGCATCGTACATCACCCTGTATGAGCAATGCTTTACCTCCATCATCGCGAACAAGATTTGGCACGAAATTGAAACCCGGGTTGATGCAAAGCTTGAATTAGTATTGTTGCCTGCAACACAGGCATGCTGCCACAACCAGCACAAATTGTTGCTTATTGCGGAATTTGTGCCAACAAAGGGCTGTCGATGGTACTGGTCTGCAACAGTGTGGTGGCTTCGACGGCTGGGCACGACACAGCGCTCGCAGCCACGATGCCCGCGCTGAAAAACAGGAAGGCGAAGCTGCCATTGCGCAGTAATAACATGGATGGCATGATGACGGCACACTGCAAAGCGTGTATTTCAAGTGACATACATGAACTCATTCTGGCATGCTGCCGGCAATAAACAGACGTGTGTCCCCGCTTGAACCACATGAACATGTTGCTTCGCTACCGGATTCGTGCTGGGGTGAGCCACAAAAGAAGGAGGCGTGTGCACAATAAACTTGTGTTGCCACATTTTGTCACCCAACCCGTTTCGTTGTGAAAAGCGGAAGGCCTGCAAAGACTGAGACTGCAATCAGGGTGTTTGGCCACGAAGCTAACGAGGCCAATTGTCAGGCTGGCGGTGCCAACTCGAAGCATAGTCAGCACATATTGTTATCGGCCTCGTGGTATGTGTTGGTGACCTTGACTCATGTCGTGACACGCGCACGACGTTTTTCAGCGCGTAGCTTAATGCCGACACAGCCGTGATGACATCAATATCATGGATCTTTTTCGGGCTCGTGATGGATTCGCTGTTTGGACGATCCTCACCACGATCGCGATATGGTTTTTTTCGCGATTGCTACAACATCTGGAGCGCGAACACGGCGCGAATGCCCAAATGTAAAAACAATCCGCCGATGAGCAATGATCCCGGTTTTTCCGCTTGCCAACTGCAGTTGACCGGGTGTTCATGAGCCTGCAGCTCGCCTTGGGCCAGCTGCGCATGTTGGCGTGGTGGCGAATGGCGAACTCGACCTGCCGATTCCGAGTTCGTTTGCGCGGCGGAGAAGGGTAGATCGTCTGGGGCCGCCCCACGCCGACCTTAGCTAATAATTGAACCACACCCAAAAAAATCAGCAAAAAGATAGCACAACGAATGCGCATTTCCAAGACAGATTTATGCCTGAACCGCTCAATCATAAACCAAGCACGACGTTCCACAAATGTATTTCACGCGATGCTGCCTTGTACGTATACCATGCACATTCGCATTTTCATTTTATCTTCGTATTTTTATGTCAATTCGAAGGCATTGTGGTTTCTTGCATCGGTTCAAACAACGCGACGTTGAAGAAACCGATGGTCTGCTGAGCCACTGCCACCGTTTTTGTGCTGTTTTTGACAGCCACGACTCTCCATTTGCTTGGCTATTGGCTGCCACCGTGGACATGCGCTGCAATGTTTCATGGCGTTCCCCGCCCCAAACTGCCGTTGCTTGCTCTGCTGCACCGAGCGTGTCTTGGCGGCCATTTTTCGGCAAAACCGTTTCGAAACATTGCACATAAAACCTGTAATTGCGTCAAATGATGTGGCAATTCCATGATGGAGACGTGAAACCGCACAAACGTTGGTGTCTACGCTGGCGTAACATGGCGTAATTATGAAGCTTGTTTGCGGAATGGAACCCTAAGGCGTTTCGCGCCTTGGGCGCACCTTGGAGCTCGAAAAGCGAAGCAGCAAACAGGGCACGGGGCAATTCCACCCCAACATAGGTGAGCTGCGACGCTGTGTCTTTTCCGTTGTATTTTTACACCCTCCATACTTGCCAACTTCCGACGTAAAAATCAGGCACTTGGGTCGAAAGCTGCGTTGGCGTGGATGTTCAACTCAAGAAAATAAGGCCTCGCAAGAACGACTGAGATGCATGCAATCCCACATCTGTGCATTGCAAGCGGCCAACATACCTTGCAAAACACTCAACACTTTTGAAGCGACGTACTGCTAGAGTATGCAAAAGATGCCTGTTTCTGCGCGACAACAGACAAAGTCCCGGCACGCAGCCTCCTTGCTGCGACAACGGTGGGTGCGTCAACAACCAAGCAGCGCTCCACATCCCGCGCGAAGCTTCCACCATCTTCCACCACTCGTGGAACACGACCAGAATCACGCAACAAAAGAACAGAAAAATCAGAACATCTGACACTGGCCACGACACCTAAACAAAACGGAAGCCCACCGCCGTTTCCACAATCGGGGCTGCGTGTGCCTGATGTGACCCTCGGCGGGTTGAGGAACAGAAAAAATCAAATAGCGATTAAAACGACAAGTTTAAGGATCGAAAAAAAATGAACGCCAAAAAGACCAATGGCCGGCGTGGTAGACCGAAGCCAAATAGAAGTGGCTCAACACACATGAAAACCCAGGGAAATCCATGAACAATCATGACAACCATGAAATGTTTTGAAGAATAAAGAGGCGTCATGAAAAACGATGACGGGAAGTCATGGAAAGCCATGGCAGTTTAAAAAACAACGAGAATGGTGACAAATGATGAAACATTGAAACATGATGGGAAATCACGACAACGGATGAAAACTCATGAGAAACAATGAACATTTTTTTTTTGACACGCCTTCTTTCGGCTGCAGGAGTGTCCCTTGGTCAGACCCTAAACCCTAAACCCTAAATGAACAATTTGGAGAATGACGGATATCGCAACATGATGAACAATGGTGTGCAACCGTGAAAATCGAGAGATGGGAAATTCTGAAGGAAACATGGACAATACCAAAACATGTGAGGAACAACTGTGCAAATGGAGCAATGTCATGAAAATCGATGTAAAATGATGAGAACGCATAAGAACAATAGGAACCATGAACATGGATCCAACATAATGAGACACAATGACAAATGATGAAATGAAAAGGTTGAACATGAGGGATATGACAACTGACGAAAAATTTGAAATAATGAAGCAAGGAATGTAAAGGAGCAAGTTCGCGAACAATCATAGTGAGGAACATGGTGACAAATGTTTGCACCGCAGGATAGTCATGAACAACAAATCTTTAATAACATCACATTGCAACATCAAACAAGGCGGAAGAAAACATATGTTCTGATTTTTGTCTAGGTTATACAATGGGCGGGGGGGCGGGACCCTCCCGAACCCCTCCGCTGTTCTGTCATTAGGTTTCTCCCGATGATACGTGTTTACGGGCTAACCTTGTTCGTCATGTTGTATGTTTTTTTTTTTATGTTTTCATTATGTTCATGATGTTGCATCATGTTCATTGTATGTATTGTTTGCATGCTCGTTATGTTTTCCCTGAGTTGTCATTGTTTTTCATGTTTTCTGCATTTTGTTGTATATTGTCGTTTTCATTACCATTCGTCATGTTTCAACCTTTTTCATCATCCATGACCATTTTTCAGAATTTATCATCATGGTTCCATGTTCTTCTGACCCTCTATCTTATTTCAGTATCGGTCATCGTTGCTCACATGTTCCAACATTTTTCATGCTTGTGCCTTGCTTTGCATCATCTTCACTGGCTTCATGATTCTTATCATTTTCAATGTTCATGATGTTTCATCATGTTCCAACATTTGTCATCATTTTTCAACAAATGTTTCCCCACCAATTCTCTCGAGTTTTCATGAACGGTCGGTCTGCCAGATTTTGTTGTTTTCTATCACTGTTTTGTCTTGAACCTTTACATTCACATGCGTCTTCATTCGCTTTTAACCACATGTTTTTTTGATTTTTTTTCGGACTTTTTGATCCTCGGCGTTTGCTTTCCAAGAAATCAAAATCATGAACGACTATGACAATTACGAAAAATTGTGAAAATCATGCGGAGGATGTATAATCAAAAAGGAAAGGACATTCGTGAAACAGAACACGGTGAAGAACATGATGACACATGCTTGCGCTGTTTGTTGTTGAATTTCTTTGTTTCTCTCGTTCTTTCGCTCTTTCTGTCCTTCTTTCTGTCATTATTTCTCTATCTCTCTCCTTTTCTTTTGTTCCGTCCTTCCTTCTTTACATGTGTTTTTTCTTTATTTCTTTCCTCCTCTGGCTCGGAGCTCGAATATGTGGTTGTTGTTTTATCCTTGCCCGGGGGCCAACACTATTGAGTTTTACTACTACCAATATTTTGTTTTTTCTTGCTGGTCCTCATTTTTTTTAACAACCCTCACGGGTTGGGGAATATGTTGTTTGATCCTTATTTGTTTTGCCGTGCCTACTTTGCTTTAAATCACACCTCCCCTCTCGGCACTTATAGGCCAAATTAATTAAAGGACCGGAGAACCCCCACATGTGCGCTTTAAGCTGAATTTAAGTGAGAAAATATCAGGAGGCCGTCGCCCGCCGAAATAAAGAAGAATAAAACGAGACGATAACTAGGGAAATGATTTTCTGAAAAATCTGAAGGGGAGGCCCCTTGCCATTTGAGATTGGGGACTTGATTCTCTGAACAGTTCTAAGGGGCACACTGCTTGGGCTTTGAGATTTGGGTCCGTGATTCTCTGAAATCGTAGGAGGACCCCCAAACGGAAGGAGCCCCAGGAAAACCGGAAAATGGTGCTGTCTTCAAGTAACCCTAGGCCAGAAATCTACCGTTTTGTGAATGTACACAAACTTGGTGCTGTCGAACCGCTGGCTTATCCCAGTATGCGGTCCGATAGCACCAAATTTCCTCAAACGCATTCTTCTGTTTTGTTTTGGTAATATGCTAGTTATTCAACTGAAGGA